CAGTGCCTGCTTCAGGTAGAAGCAGGACACTGCTGGGATGCTGCTCCTTTCTAGTTGACTTCCTGGGAGCTTGGATGTATTTTGGAGGATGAAGCCAGCTCTCCAAATGGGTGTTGGTGCCCCCTTGACACCACTGGGTACAAACAACCTGGCAGATGCCAGCGCAATGTTTGGCAGGTATTTCTTGTCATACAAGTGGCTCAAGATGGGGGTGGCATCCAGTGGCACAGCGCTGGTGTCTGGGCTGAGTAAAGTGGTGGCAAGGCATTGAAGGTGCTCGGTAAAGGGTAGAACTTCATCATTTTTGCCCAATTGTAAGAAGAGCTTGACAATAAGGAAGCAGACCCGGGCCTCCAAGGGAATATTACCCACAGCAATGGCTTCTCTGAGGATGTACTTCATGACTTCCAGCTCATTCTCTGAGCTGAAAGAGTGGCCAGGCAAGCAGACAAGCAAAGTCACTGTTTTCCCCAGCAAAGAGGAGAACTTGTTCTTCATGTTTTGTTTCAAGTAGATGGAGGCAAGGTTCACATGCAATGCAGCCATCAGGGGCAGATCCCCAAAACCCATGTCCAGGATGCTCATAGCTTCCTCAAAGTAGACTCGAGCCTGAGAGAACTTGACCTTTTTGATGCAGAGCTTACCCAAGAGGAAACAGAGTCGAATATGAGCCCAGGCTGAATGAGTCCTCTTGGCCCAGTTCCTGCAGGTCTCAAGGTACAAAACCAGTTCATCTTCATCAGAAAAACCATAAAAAGTGGAGCTGAGAAAGGAAAAACTGAGATCGTAGAGGCTTTGAAAATTGGGCACATAACTGCTTTGGTTAAGGAAGGTCAATATAGGATCAAAGACATCAGCATCCTCCATGTGTCCAACATTCAGGTCAATGAAGAACTTGGGATCATCAAAGTCATTTGACTTCTCCAGGAAGATATCTTCCAGCGTAGCAGGAGCTGATTCATTCCCTGGGCTAGACTTCTCGGAGGTGCTAGGTGTTGTAAAGCTGTTTATTTCCTCCCAAGACTGGAGCAGCTGAATATCCTTATAGCTCTGGAGAACAGCCTCTGCAAGGGACAGGCAGATCACAGTGGGATGTTTCTCTATGTCAAAATTCACTCTTTGAAGTCATCATAAAAACACCCTATTTTGCCCCCTCCACATACTCACCTGGTGGTACTTTTGGGAATGTGGCTGTGGGTTCAAAACCATCTACACAGACAAGGAGACAAACAAAAAACAAGAAGCCTAAAGCCTTGGTCAATGTTAGCATGCAGACACTGCATTTAAACCTTACAGAGAT